TGTAAAAAAAAAACTTTGCTATTTATTCTTTGACCTATAGATTATTGTAAGTATGTTAACGTCCACATATTTGAAGATTTTGTAGATATCTGATTGTTGCTGGTTACTAATATTATCTGATCAGAGACTATATGCTGCATGATTTCAGCCTTTTGCGGTTTGTTGAGTTGTTTTATGGCCCAGCAAGAGAATTTCACAAGCCCTTGGAAGGAGTGTGTGCTCCATAACTTGGATGTAGGCACCGCAAATATCGTTGAGGTCCAACTGGCCATGGCTGTTTGGATCATACACTTACCGAATGTCTGTTAATTTTTTAATCAGTCCCTGAGAGGAGAATGTTATAATTGTCAGTGATGACCGTAGGGCTCTTTATTTCTCTCCTATGCCTGTTAATTTATGTATATATTGTGAAGCTCCATAAGTGAATGTTATGGATTAAGAACTTAACGCCTGCTGGATTACATCAGCATGGCACTGAGCGTAGATGCTCCACCTGAGGAAAGTTGCCAGCATAAATAGAGACGTGGAGAAGGAGAAGGTGGGCACTGAGGCATTGGGGTATTGTAAGTTCTCCTATGAGTTGCTGTTTTCCTGGAGAAGCTCCGGTCCTCACATCGAGTACTTCTTCCTGGCTTTGGAGAGGAAAACAGGTGCCGCTTGGTTTGCAGGATGAGTTCATCACGCTGGCTTCCTGGCATATACCTGACTGTGCTTGTTGTTGGAGGAGCTCAGGGCCTCTGTGTCACTGAGGATGGCTATGGTGCCTTTCAGGACAGCCCTGGTCTTTGTTGTGAGTATGACTTCCCAGCTCTAGCACAGAACCACCCATCCCACCAGCACAGCTCCTTCATCCTGCTGGCATAGATTTTCTGGCTTCCAACGCTGACCCTTGAGTCTTTGCGGCACAGATCTGTAAAAGAGACTGATGTGAGTCCTTCTTGTGGGCTCTAGACCTCCAGTTGGACTCCTGGGAGGCATTGTCATGAGCTCTGGGTTTTCATCTGGACTCATGTGGGACCTTGCTGTGGGATTTAGACCCTTGGCTAAATATTCTTTGTCTTTGGTGTTGCAGATAGATTTCCTGCATTTTCTTGTGTTAACTCTCGGTGACCATCACAAATAACATTATAAACTCCATGTCCTGATTCTAGTTGTTCTCTGCACAACCCTTGACTACAACGGTGAGGTACATTTAAATGTGTAATGTCTTCTTAAGGGTTGGTCCTTTCATCTTTATGTGCTCTTTATCTTATTACTCTTTGCCTTAAAGTCTACATTAATGTAATTTTCTTATGTATTTGCACCTTTTCTCTCCTTTTAGATTTAACCTGTTTATATGTTGTTTCTAAAAAAACACTAACCATAGTAGTTGAATTTTGCTTTTTTGTGCATTCTGACAATTTCTGCTTTTAATTGGAATGTTGAGTAATTCATAGTTATATAATTACAGATGCAGTTGGTGGTAAGCCCCCTGTCTTACTATTTGTTTCTTGCCATGTTGTTCTTTGTTCCTCCTTTCTTGTTTTATTTTGGGTAAATCTGTTCTTTTTCTAGTTCTCCATTTTATCTACTTTTTATTTTGTGTTTCTCTCCTGTTTAATGATTCCTCTCCAGATTGCAATGTGTGCCTTGTCCCAGAGTGTATCTCCGGATTGTGTTACATTGTCTCATTCTCAATAGAGTGTTCCACTTACTCTCCTGTGATGAGGCATCTTACACTTAGTTTCTAGCCCTGCAATTCAGTATTCTTAGGGTTTTAAAAACTGATAGATTCTACAGTGTTGAGACACATACATCTATGTTTATATATAAATAGTAAAATTTTATATGTTTATATAGGAATACTAAAACTTTAATAACTTTTTGTTCACTGATGCATTTAAATTTTATCTTTTCTGCTGCTTTTTTTTTTCTGAATATCTGGTGTCATTTCACTCCAGTCAGAAGAAATTTCCATATCATTTCTTATAATGTTTATCTATTAGCAATTAATTCTCTTAGCGCTAGAGATCTGTCTACTAATACTTTTATTTCATCTTCGTTTTTGAAGGCTGTCTTTTTGGATACAGAATTTTAGGTTGACAGTTTCTTCTCACTTTTAAGATTTCCATTCCATTCTTTTTTTTTTTTTTTTGTCTTTCTCATTTTTATCGGTACCAGGAATCGAACTCACGACGGCCTGCTTGCAAGGCAGGTGCTTATGCCGCTGAGCTAAATCCCCAGACCCCAATTCCATTCTTTCTTGTACAAAGTCGTATAGTTTGTATTGTTGGAACCTGCAGGTAGGATACAGTTTTCTTTGTGCTTATTCTGCTTGGTAGTTTCAGAGAATGGAAGAGGAAAACATAAACTGTTTTTACCTCCTCTGCCTCATTGCAGAACTCTTCTGTGATTAAATGTGTGGGGCTTCCCCACCGCACGCAGTAGTCTGCCTCAACAGTGCTTGCCTCACTGTTCTGGAACTGCACTCTCGTGCTGCCTGCCTGGAGCCAGGACGCACCTCACAGGTGAGACACACCTCACAGGTGAGGGCCCACAAGCTGCTGCCACTTCAGGTGCCAGCCATAAAATCCAGGCTGCCACCCATATTTCTGACAAGTGGTAGACATCAGAGGTTTTTAGAAACCCTTCCATGGGCTCTGTCTTTTGTGGGCTGGCTTACAGACTCACTAAGCCATAGAGTTACTATATTAGTAAGGGCCATGGTAAAGGATGCAGGTGAGCGTCTGATGGACGGGTACTTCGGGTGAGGTCTGGGAAGCTCCCGCACTCAGAACGCTTTGTCTGTGCCTGGCAGCTGATGTTGGCCTCCCTTCTTATCCACGGCTGTGTTCACCATCCCAGAACTCTGTCTGAGCCTTGTGTGGTGGGTTTTCATAGTGGCTTCATTTGTAGGCACGATAGATTATTAACTCAGTCTCTAGTATTCCCCTCGTCCTTGAGGAGGAAGGGTAGGCTGACAGTTAGTTCTGAGCTTCTAGAAATGGCTTGATCTGTCTGGTGACCAGCCCCCACGCAGAAGCCAAATAAGCTTCTTCATTAGAACCAAAGATAACCCCATCACCCAGGAAATTCCAGGGGATTAGGAGTCTCTCTAGGAGACTGTGACTTCAGAACAAATGTCAGAACATAGTATATTTTGAGCAGTCCCACTGTAGAGGAAATTATGTGTTTTAAGAGCTTAGTATCAGCAACTGGAAATAGATCAAATACATGCTTTTTATTATGTCCCACAGGGTTTCAGAGAAATATTAATCTATGAATTAAAGGTTTGCATTAATCCCAAGCCACTCTCTCCTTCAGCATTTCTTCTGTCCTATTTTTTGTTTTTTCTTCTATAACTTGTTATACTTGTTAGTATGTATGTTTTTCAGATGTCAGAAATACTGGTTTTTCTTATTTCTTTTTCTCCTTTCAGTTAAGACTTTTTGGTCTGTTTTCAACTTTACTGAACCCATCATTTAGTGTCCACGCTGTTGTTATCTGTTTCATTTCTGATGTTAAGATTTTCGTTTCTGTATTTCCTTTTGGTTCTTTCTTACAGCTTCTATTTCATTGCTGAAATCCCCTCCAGGGCCTCCCATGTGTTGTCCACCCTTTCTTCAGTCCTCGAGCGTATTTATTAGAGTTGTGATAAGCTCTCCTGGTGCATCCAACACTTGAGTTATCCTCTGTTCAATCTTTTCTCTGTAGAACATAGATCATATTTTGCTTTTTATGTGTGTGTGTCTTACCCTATTTTACTGTATGCTAGATCGTTTGTTTCTAACAGGCCTCTTAGACTGAACTGAATACTTACCTCTGGAAGTGTCAAGCTCACCCCACCTTTTGTCAGTCTGCTTGTACTGGGACTCTGCTCATTGAATCTGTAATTGGGTGAACTGAGGTCTTGGTGCAGCTGCCCTAATTCAAGTCACTTGGAGAAAGTGGCGCGACTTCCTCTAGCAGGGTAGAATCTGAGTGCTTGAGGGCTTTTGGAGGTGTCTTTGTGCTTAGGGCTAAACCACCAGCTCTCTGAGTGGTAGGGAATTTTTCTTGCTTTCTGCCTAAATTGAGAGCACTTTCCCTCTGTGAGGTGCATTCTGTGTCTCCAGCCTGTCTGTGGTTCCCTTTCTCTGAAAGTTTGTCTTGTTCTGAAACTCTTATTCCCGCCAGTGGTGGCCGTTCCTTCTCCTGCAACCAACTGTTGCTGGTTTCTTCATTCTTGTAGGTGAGTTCTTTAGGTTTCTTTGCTTTCTCAGTTTTTGAGGATTTTTAAACTTTGTGGGATTGCTCAGTTTATTTACCTGGTTTTGGCAAGAGGTCCACTTTGGTGCTGGGGAATGAACCCCAGGCTCCACAACAGGCTTCCAGGTACGTGCACACTGAGCATGCCTCAGTACAGAGAATTATTTTCAGCCATTGTTTGTTTACTTTTTATGATAATGTTTTGGTTATTTTCCATAACTTTTAGAAAATTAGGGAAGCAGAAGGAGTGATAGACTTTACTAATTAAATATCTTAAGTGTGGGTAGTACAGAGGTCATTTTTCATTGGTTTTACCTCAATATATCTAAAGAACAAAGTACTTTGGAACTGAAATTTAAGTAATTATAATTATACAGTTGAAACGTGATAAAGAATAATGCAAAATAAATGCCAACGTTGCCAAGATGGTTTATATGTTATAAAAAGAGGTCTTAGTGACGCAAATAGAGGATTATATTCATAAAAGAGCAATTTCAAGAAAATTTATTTTGGTAAAAGTAAGAGTTAGCTAAATGCTTTTTAATGTCATTTATTTGTCTGCATTTGCTTCTGTGGTGTATAATCTCTTCCACTTTTAAAAATCAAGTTTTCATTTTGCCAATTTCAAAAAATGTCTGTTTAAGCAGCCAATCTGTAATGCCACTTATCTTGTATTAAATACAGTGGGTAGACACATCATCTCACACAGCTAAACTATAGGTAAGCCTGAAAAGTGGGTCAGCTCCTGACTTCTTTTATTGTAAACATTTCAGATTCCACAGTGTGTCTGAAAAGCTGCACACGGAGTGCAAAGCAGAGATGGTGACCCCGCTGGTGACAAACCCTGGGCACGTGTGCGTCACGGACACCAACCTGTATTTCCAGCCTCTCAATGGGTACCCGGTGCGTGGGCTGCAGAGTCAGAGCGGAGCTGGGCTTTCTGGGAGCTCGGCTTTGCACTGAGCGCATTTGGGTGGGGGGTGATGTCACGGGTCCCCCCGCCCCCCAAGGCTTGTGTGTTCTATGTGCTTCCTGTGTATCCCAGTGCACCCCTGAGCTTCGGGCTCTTCCAGTCCATGTTCGGTCATCATGGGTCTTGCTCTTGGTGTTGTGTAAAGAAGCCCTGTCCTCCCAGTTTTAGTGCAGAGTCCATGGAGATTTATACCTTCCTGTAGGAGGCATTTTCTATAGAAAGAAGCTGTGTACCCCTATGAATAAGAAGTACACATTTCCTGCAGAGTCACGTATGTGCACACATAGGATTATGCTACTGGTCTCTCCTTGGTTGCACACACAGTCCACAGGTGTGGAAATTTCTGCAAGAAGCACTTGGAATTGGCCTTTCTCTCAGCCAGTGTGAAAGTGGAATGCAGAGGTGACTTTGTGGAGCTCCTTTTATGATCTCGGAAACAGTCTTCTGTTTCACAAGGGAAATAGAGATGAATTTAGATTTCTGCCTTAAAACTTGTAAAGAATTGGTGCTTCCCTAGAACTGGCCCCTTTTCGGTGTGGTTCACGATCTGAGGCAGTGCATATGGGCCGTTTGGTTGTGCCGCTTAAAGAATCTGGAACCCTGGAAATTGGCTAGCTTGTCATTACATGGTACTAGAATGTCTTAGGCAGTGTGTCACATACGGTGTTATCACAGTTCTGTCCGCCAGGTGGTGGAGCCACTTGCTGTCCTTTCCACCCGACAGTACAGTAGCTGGTGGGCTGACTCCGCCAGGCTGCTGGTGTTTCTGTTGCCTGGGTTAAAACCTTATTTTATTCATAGTCAATATAATAATTATTTTTTTAATTTAGGGTGTCAGCAAGGCGGCAGATCCATCTACCATAAATACTCCTAAAATACAGATTGCCAGCAGAAATTGGATGATTAGATCCCAGGAGTTCTGAAGTTGTCACTGTCCATAATTCAACTGGAGATAAAAGAATTGTGGACAGATGGAATGAGTGGGTTAAGCAGCAAATTCCTTTAAAAAGGGCTATCTTGAAGATGCCAATCTCATTGAGTGACCTTAAGGAATATTACAGAAATCACCTGAAATTTCTTAAATAAAAATTTATTTAATGTCTTAAAAAAAAAAAAAGCTTATGGAGAAATGAGTGTGTGTCACAGCTTCAGGACCCCTGGGATAAGGACCTACCCCTTTTCAGGTTTCTGTGCTAGGATCCCTGGCCTCCCTTGAGGTCTTCAAGACATTTTCCACTATGAGAATGTCTTTGGCCTTTTAGCCAATGACAGTACACTTGTAACCTTCTTTCTTTCTTATAAATATTTTGAAGTTCTAGAGAAGGGAGAACATCATTCTTTTCGTTAAGAAAGAACATCTCAGAGGCCTGTCCTGCACAGTACTAAACTGTAACACCCTGAAGGACAGATGACAGTACCATTTAGGGCCCTGAGTAAAGTAAAGCAATGGCCACCATCAGCAAGCTGATGCAGGATGGCCGAGTGGCATGTAGAACCAGACAGGCCTGTTTCAAGTCTTCATTGCCAGTTGTTCACTTGCAGTGCATTAGGAAAGCAGGGTGGGTCACCTGTTGTCCCTTGCTGACACTGAAGAACAGTTTCTGCTTCTTACAGAAACCCGTGGTCCACATCACTCTTCAGGATGTCCGCCGCATTTACAAGCGGAGACACGGTCTCATGCCCTTGGTGAGTTCAGGTGAATCCAGAGCTCAGTGGATGGTTGCTGTTTTATTCAGGTCTGGATGCCTGAAAAAGTGCAAATGTGTTGTATTATGAGCAAACAAATACCTACTCTTGCTACGCTTTCTTTTGACTAAGCTAGAAATTGAAAGAGGAATAACTGCCTTCTGTAGGTAGGAGGTTCTGTCACAAAACCATTTTTGGCTCAGACAACAAGAGGGCATAGGGTGTCTGTGAGTGTCTCACCTCTAAGTACTTTGTGGGCTTAGGTGGGCGTGGTGTGTGGGGGACAGTCCAGGGCTCCTTGCTGTCACCTGAGTGGGTCTCAAAGTAAAGTTTGGGAGACATTATGACCTCAGCTCTTCAGGGAAACTGTAGTGTAGTCATGGTTTGTGTGTACTAATTAAACCTCTGAGCCCCGGAAGAGGAGAAACGGAGGCACCACTTAAACCATAGGAGCGGTTTTTCCTGCGTTCCCCTGAATAAGCATGTTTGCTGTACCTAACATTCATGTTAGGAATCAATCTTTGCAGAAGCTGTGGTTCCAAGAGGTTTTGATTTGATACCAATTATCAATTCATGTTTTTCTCTTTGAAGAGTTAATAACTGATGGTTTACAAACATTATAGATTCTTAACTCTACAGATAGAGTAAAAGATTTGAGTATAGAGGAACAGTCAGAAAAAGAGAAGAAAACACTGATTATGTGCCCGCTGCATAAAGGAATCTCATGTGCTATAGCTTATTTATTTATTTATTTATTTATTGCTGTAACGCTCTCCAGGGCGAAGGGCTCTCATGTTCTACAGATAAAGGAGCAGAGACTCCGGGGCAGCTTCCTAAGCTCCTGTGATAGGACATGGACGGGTTACTCCAGGATTCCGCCCTTTCTTTGTTGATTTCTGTCCTAAATTAGTTTTTTCAGCACAGTACTCACAAAATTCTTGGTTGTCTTTAAAATTGTCATAACTTACTGAGTTATTCAGTTATGCGTGTGTGAGGTGTGTATAATTAATTTATAAAAGAAGATAAACATTTGTGTTTTAAAAGCATAAGTCAACTAATTTTGAGTTCAAAATAATAAATTAATGAAAGCTATTAGAAGTGAAAACATTCAGTACCAAAGAGAATTTCATATTTTACCTGAAATATGGATCTTCTTCCCAGGAAGTTTATCAATGCAATGTCCACATTCACTTTAGGAAAAATATGTTTGTGTCTCTGAATTAAAACATGCATGGAAAATGGGAATAAAATAGTAAAAATCAGGAATACAGATGTTTTGTAGTGACACTCTGGGTTCAGGAGATGAATGTGATGACACCTGTTTTGTTCTTTCTGAATTTCTAGGGCTTGGAAGTATTCTGCACCGATGACGACCTGTGTTCCGACATCTATCTAAAGTTTTATGAGCCTCAAGATAGAGACGACATCTACTTCTACATTGCCACGTACCTAGGTTTGCTGCTTGTCTTTTGCCGTGTCTGTGTGCGTGACGGTGGTTCAGCTCTCGGGTAGCAAAGAGGAGAAAAATGCTCTGTCTAGAATCGCCCCTTCATAGATCTGCCTGTTTCTTCTCCTCAGTAATTATAATTGCCAAAATAGTATCTTAAAGCTGAAATACAAATTCATTTTGGTAATAAGTCATTTAAATTTAAATTGTGCTTTAAAAATTCTTGGTAAGATATTTAAATGTTTTTGCTACTTAAATGACCTCCAAAATTGAACAGATTTTAAAGAAACTACCCACCTGTTCTTTTACTCAGCTATGACTTACATTAGTCTATGAAGGCCAAGACTGAGTTGCTTCATGTAGACAGTGAATTACATTTATGACCCTTGACTGTGGTCCTCACCACAGAGGCAGAAAGCCACGCAGAAGGACTGTGAGCCTCCTGTGCCCCGTGTAGCACCCTCAGACTGTCACTCACTTTTATTGTGATTCCATAATCGTTCATGGAAAGTGTAACCTTTTCCATCTTTGCCAGGTAGAACATCTGTACTTTTCTTATCAAGCATGAGCTTTTTATTAAGTTGTGTTACTAAGTTGAATTTTCTCATTTGTACAGATGCTAGACGACTAGAGATTTTATAAATCAATGTTTGGACTTTATTAATGCCATCTTGATTTTGTTGACTCTTGTGTACATTGAAATGATTTGGATGTTATATAGTGATTTACATCTTCATTTGGAAATGAAAACTTCCCTCAAAAAGGAGTAGTTTATTTCTAATAAGGAATATATTTTATATTACTAGATTTATAGTTAAAATTTTTTTCATTCATTGAACAGTTTATAAGTATAGCTGTGTGACAAGTTTGCATTCATTTCCTAGCTCCTGATATATTTTATTTTTCTCAATTTAACAAGATTACAAAAAACTCAACTTTCATGCTGTGTCTTAAAATCTCAAGTCAAAACCTTGCATGACCTGAAACTGTCTCTCTCATGCTTTTAAGTTTATTCCTAAGGTTTCAGAGGTGTTTCAGAAGCAGTGAGATAGGAAAGTGTTCTGAGTTTTGAAGCTCTTTCCGATTAGCTGATGTGAAAAGATGTTTGCTAAGATTAAATAGGGATAAATAATGAATCAATATGTAAGTTAATTTGCTTAATGCTTCCAAAAAAAAGTTGAAAGCAAAATTTTCCGGAAAAAAAAAATCAACGTATCGGAGGAGAGTTGGTTCATTCTGAGCTCTGTGAAAGAGATGTTCTCACGTGTGCATGTCATCCGCAGTTCTTTCAGAGAGAAGGTGCCCTTGCTGGCCATCTAGCCTGAGGATTGGTCCTCCTGCCAAGTACTTTTTAAGTTTCTTTTATTAGTCTTTACATGAATAAATAATATGCAATCATTGACAAATTGGTACTAGCACACCTCTTCAAACTTAAAATATTATTTTGTTAAGATTTCATAAATTGGGGGAAATTAATTTTCATAAGTGTCCAAAGTTTGTAAAAATGCATTAAGACGCACCACACTTGGAAGCCTTCATTATTCTTTGTGTAAATATTCTGTATTGTCATGTAATACTTACATTTTTGCTCCATGTTTTAAATCTGGTTAAGTAATGTCATAGTCTGGGGTAGGATAATAGTTCAGTATATTTAATAACTTCCCCTCCTGCATTTTAAAGATACTTCTATTTAGCCAGATAGCTGCTTTGTGAAAACTGATCAGCAGCCAACTTTCCTTTCTCTTAAATGTGTTTCTACAAGTCTGCGGAGGGTCTGTGTTTTTTTAAGCATCCGGAGGGCTGTTCAGCCCCTGCAGGCTGCGGCAGTAACAGGCTGGGCACCTCTCCCGCAGAGCACCATGTCGCCGAGCACACAGCAGAGAGCTACATGCTGCAGTGGCAGCGGGGACACCTTTCCAACTACCAGTACCTGCTGCACCTCAACAACCTGGCAGACCGCAGCTGCAATGACCTCTCCCAGTACCCGGTGTTCCCATGGGTAATAAGTGACTATTTCAGCCCAGATTTAGGTAAATGTGTGTGCGTTCTGGGAGAGCTGCATTGGAAGTGGTTATCGTACAGGAGAATAAGTTCTCTTTTAGAATTGTGATGGTGGGATCTGGACAAATGAGAGCTCTTTTCAGTTTTTTTATTGAAGATTGCTGGCTTCCACGCCCAGCGACTGCACAGGTATAACATATAAATCATATAGGTATCTCGTGTGTTTTCTCTACCGTAGCTCTTGAAGTACATACATAGAAAATATCTGCATCTAATCTGGTGCGACTGTCATCTGGAAGTACCAGGTTTTAAAATATTCAGATTTCTCACTGAAAACTGTGGCTCGCTTTAAAGTATTGTTTTAAAATCCACATTAATAATTGTGATTATCTAAAGAAATAATTTCATTATAGAACAGTTAAAGAAGAAAGTAAAAGTCATTCATGATTACATTACTGAGAAATAACCACTTTAACTTAATGTACTTCTCTGTTGCTACCTTGTTTTAATAAAATGTGGTCGGGGGGCTGGGGATTTAGCTCAGCGGCATAAGTGCCTGCGTTGCAAGCAGGCAGTCGTGAGTTCGATCCCTGGTACCGATAAAAACAAAAAAGACAAAAAAAAAAAAAAAAAAAATGTGGTCGTATTATCATTCTAAATTTTAAATTGTTTGCTTTTTTGCAGTCCTAGGGATTGAACCAGTGACATTCCACCACTTAGTTAAATCCCAACCCAATTTATTCTTTGATTGGTTCATGTGTTTATTCTATTTTAAGGCAGTGCATCCAGGTTGGCCTGGCCAGCCTTGAAGGTATCTGTCCTCAGCCTCAGCCTCCTGAGGAGCTGGGACACAGTGTGCCCCAGAACTAGCTCTCACTTCCGTGTCGTGGCCAGTTAGCTGGCTTGCAGCCTTTGTAACTGACAGGGATAACAGAAGTCCTAAGAAATGAGAATTTATTTCCCTGTAATTCTCAGGTTCCTGGTTCTCAAATTATGCTAATATCATAGCATAATAATACCCTAATTCCAATAAAGAAAGTAAATCTTGATAAAAAAAATAATGGTGTAAAAATCTATTTAATATTTTGTTCTGTTTTGAATGTAGTTTTTAATCAAATCTTATTTTGCAAAAAATCAAACACTATAAATAACAGAAATGCTATTATTTTTCTCAATTTTAAAAGCTATTTGAATCAGTTCAGCAGGATGATTGTATAAGCTGAAGTTATTTATGTTTACAGATTTGTCAGATCCAGGAACCTTCAGGGACCTTAGTAAGCCAGTGGGAGCCCTGAATAAGGAACGGCTGGAGAGATTGCTGGTTTGTGGACATAAAATTCAAGGTTTTGGGGTTTTTTGTTTTGTTTTGTTTTTTTGCAACAGAGTCTTGCTGTGTAGCCCAGGCTAGCCTTGAAGACACCACAGTCTTTCTATCTCAGCTTCCTGAGCACTGAGATTACAGGTGTGCACCACCACACCCAGGAGATTGGAAGTTTCTAAGCACAGTCATGATCCAGAAGACTCAGTTTTCATGGGAGCTGAAACACCTTTCCCTCAGGTTGAAGCGTGAGCACCAGGAGCGCCTCGCTGACCCTCCTGGTGCACTTCTGGCTTGGTTCCCACCGCGAAGGTGGCTGTTTTCTCTCGCTTTGTGGTGCTCAGCTGGAGTAGCAGCATCGCCTGTTTTAGGGGTACAGGGTTGTTTTCCTGGCGGTGTCTGTGTTAATCACATGACACGCACAAAATCAGTTTGTGTCATCTGGCCCCAGCACTGTTTCTCCACTAAGCCAGGAGAGCCAGAACACTTGCTACAGAAGTGTTAGTCACAGATGTCCCCTCCCTCCCTCTCCTAGCCAGGAGAAGGGCTGAGGGCTATGGTAACCCAAGCCCGCGCTGTTTTAGGACTTTGCTTCTGAGTCAGATTTTACTCGCGCTCTAGCACTCAGTGCTGTTCTCTCCTGTGTTACAGACTCGCTACCAGGAAATGCCTGATCCAAAATTCATGTATGGAAGCCACTACTCTTCCCCAGGTTACGTGCTCTTTTACCTCGTTAGGATAGGTGAGACTCTTCAGCATTGCCCGGGGTTACATTTGTTTCCCACAGATCTCAAACGGTGTGTGCTGACTTCTCTGCTTCTTGCCCCTCAGCTCCGGAGTACATGCTGTGCCTGCAGAATGGAAGATTTGATAACGCAGACAGAATGTTCAACAGGTTTGACTCAGACGCCTCCTTGGCAGTGTGATGATTCTGTATGCTCGTAACGTTTGCTTTAACACTAAGGAGAAACAAAAGTGCGCAGAAGTATTTTTGAAAAATCACTGGTATACCTATCCCTTTCAGTTTTTTAAAAGATACACTCGCATATCTACACGAATATATCTATACATGTGAGAATGTATTTTAAATACAGACTTTGCCCTGTTTTCTGGGGCCTGATATTAGATCTTGAAATTTTCTCCATCCTTCAAAATAGTGTATTCTCCATCCTTCAAATAGGTATTCTTCAAAATAGTGATTTTTAAAAATTACTGTATTGCAGTCTAACATATGCCATAAGTTATGTCAACTGTTTGTGTCTAGTTAGCGTTTATATTTTTTCCAGTGTCTTAGTGTTATTCTGCTATGAATGGAACATAACTCTCTGAGAGCATTTAGCCGGGTGTGTGTGTACTATTTCCTGACCCAGAAATCAAAACATAAAGAAAAAAAATAAAGATCACTTGGCGTCGCACCACACGAGGATGCTGATCTTCTGAGCTGTGTCTTCCTGAATTATTTCTGAGCTCCTCACTCCCTCTAAATGGCCTGTTTAAAGAGGGCTCTAATCTTGCAGTATTTGGGCACCTGGACAGAGCTGTGTGTGTGGTGTGCAGTGTCTCCACTGGGCTCCACACTTCTGGCCTTGGTGATCCTAAATAGCTGCGGCAGCTCCCTGTGCCCCTGTGTGTCTCTCATTAGTGGATGGTGTATACTGTGGGTGGATGAGAAACAGGTTGATTGGGGAAGGATAGGAGGCGTCGTGTCAGGTGGAGTACAGGAAGTGCTGCTGCCCCTGTATCTTCAGTTCAGATTTAACGAGAGTTTCCTCCCATTTAGTATTGCAGAAACCTGGAAAAACTGTTTGGATGGTGCAACAGATTTTAAAGAAGTAAGCAGCTGATGAAATTAATGATTCCCAGGGCTTGTGGTTTTTAACTGCTTTGTTTAAATGTTGCTATTTTTCCCCCTTGGAAATTTTCAGTTGATTCCAGAGTTCTATGGTGATGATGTCAGCTTTCTAGTCAACAGTCTGAAACTGGATTTGGGAAGGAGACAAGGAGGGCAGGCAGTTGATAATGTCGAGCTTCCTCCGTGGGCCTCAAGTGAGTACTGTCTTACAGGCACCTTGTTATATGCAGTTTTACCAAGTGGCGCAGTTCTAATGTCGTCGTTCTGTTGCTTAGGTTTTTAAAAGTGATGCTATTATTGTCTGAGTGAAGCACTGTCAGTCTATTCTAAATCAGAAGTATCCTCAGTCTGTGATGCAGACAAATTAACATGTATTTGAGAGAACTAAGTGCTCTGAAAATGAATTTTTGTTAATTTTTTTCCAAAAAAATAAAAACTTAATTTCATATTATGGTGGAGCAATTTAAAATATTTATCTTTGGGCTGTCCTGGAAGCTTGTTCTGCTTTTGATAGACAGAGGCAGTGAGAGAAAGTGAAATGGGGCTTCTGGTTTTATGACTGAGTCTGCTCCCTTAGGTCCCAGGGACTTTCTCCAGAAGAGCAAGGACGCGCTGGAGAGCAGTTACGTGTCAGAGCACCTTCACGAGTGGATCGATCTTGTATTCGGCTACAAGCAGAAGGGCAGTGATGCTGTTGGGGCCCATAATGGTGTGTGGTGTTCAACCAAATTTCAGTTAGAGATTCATGAAAATGAAAGCAAGCAAACAAAAGTATGAGGCCAGAGTAATCAAGCTCACCACTTCTGCAGAAGCATCTTAGATCAGAAAACAGGGCCTGAAGTTCTCTGGCCTGTGTTAGATACGAAGTAACAGAGGAAGGATGCCTTTCACCTAGATGAGATCTGCCTCACCATGGTTCCAAGAAGTGTTGTCTAAAGTCTGATTTTAGTTTATACAATCACCTCTCAGTATCAACAAAGAATTGTTCTAGGACTCTCTTTGGTTTCTAAGATCTGTAGGTGTTCCAGGCCCATATACAAAATGGTGTAGTATTTGCACAGAAGCTGCATACTTAAAACCATCTCTAAATTATTGATAATGCCTCACATAAACATGGCAGAAATAGCTGTTACACTGTATAGGTTAGTGGGTAGTAACAGTTTGTACCTGTTCAGCATAGGCACATTTTTTCCATTGTATACTGTTAGTTTAATTGACAGATGTAGATCCCCTAGATACAGAGGACTGACTGTGCTTCCATGTCCTTTAATAATTTCAGCTACAATTCAGAGTGCTGTATGACAGTGACCTCAGTTCCTCTAGAGGTCCCCATGCTTTCTTTTTAGTTAAACGAAACAGAAGCAACAGCAAAATACCTCTTCTGAGTTTCAGCCTCAGTTCCTGCTTGCTACCGAGTTTATTTTGGGGTCAAAAACAGGAACTTGAGGCAGAAATGTGACCTCACTTCTCACATGCTGGTCAGGGCCAGTTTAATACTGTGATTCATGCTTCCCCGAAGGAGGAAATCATGCCGCCTGAGACGGGCACTGGGATGGAAGCCGTCTATGTGCCAGGGTGACTTCTGCTCATCCAAAGATAATGATCAGAGCTGATCTTGACTCAGTTTGAGCATTAGTCTGGTTTGCACAATGAAGATGAGTTTTTTTGAAAAGGGTTTTAACTTGTTGAGATGTTTAAATTCTGAATAGAGTGTAACTAAGTAAATTATCTTTCAATCGTGTTTATATCTTGCAGTATTTCATCCGCTGACCTATGAAGGAGGTGTAGATTTGAACAGGTATTTACATGTCTACAAGGCTTTTCTGTGTGAGTTATAAAATACCTTATTTACATTGTTAATAAGATTATTTGAGCTGGGTGAGGTAGCTCAGGCCTGTAATCCCAGCACTGGGGAGGCTGAGGCAGGAGGATCCTTGCAAGTTGGAGACCAGCGTAGGCTACAAAGTGAGCTCAAGGCCAGCCTGAACTACATAGAGAGACCTTGTCTCAAAAAGACAAAAAAAAAATTATTTGAGAATGTTAAGGTATAGAAATTTTTAAATGAATTTTGTGTTGCTTTCATCATGATGTTGGTTACTAACAACCAGAAATAATCTATTGAGATCTGTCTGTCACATGGTGTAAACAGTCTGGCCTGTAGTTGCTGTCATTATTTGAGTGTTAATGTCTCCTGCGTATCTGCGTTGTTTGAAACATGTGTGGTCTGGAAAGGTGTGCCTGTGTGTCACTGCGCTGTTTGTGTTCTGTCCTAAAGCATTGAAGATCCTGATGAGAAAGTGGCCATGCTAACCCAGATCTTAGAATTCGGGCAGACACCAAAGCAGCTGTTCCTTACCCCACATCCTCAGAAGATCACCTCCAAGTTTAAAAGGACCTCCCAGGCCTCCAGTTACACTGTTTCTGTGGCAGACTCCCCAGGTGGGTTTTGTAAGCAAAGCGGATGAGACCGCTTTTGTTTCTCTTTGGTGGTTAAATGTTTCTGAGAAGAGATGAAACATGAACTGCTTTGCTGCTAGATGTTTTTCTCCTGGATTTACTTATGTATTTATTTTTGTAACTCTTTAAGAAAAGTCAAATAACTTTTGTTTCCTGGTAATTTGACTTGCTGTGTCCCACACTGCAGTTCCCTGTTTTTCCTGTGGTTTTGCTAAATTCTTAGCAGCTCACCTTTTCTTTTCTATTGGTTCTGGGGATAGAACTCATGACCTTGTGATTGCCAGGCGGACACTGAAGCCGTTGAGCCAAATCCCCAGCCCCAATGGTTGCTGCTTTGACAGTTGCCATCCACCTTCCTCCTTCCCAGAAGTGGCCTCTGTCCCCAGTGCTCAAAACTGACATACAGATCTTGAATTCATGCTACTCTGTTTTCTTAACATTTGATAAATACATAGAGAGCATCTGTTTTGTGCGGGACATATGCTTGGCACCAGAGTAAACCTGACTCAGTTCTTGCATCCAGCATTTGAAAAGGAAGGAAAGTGCTCACCACACTTTACGTCTCACATTTCTACCTCCAAGCTCTCTGGGGAGCTGTGTGATTCTGTAAGCCAAGGCTGGCAGGAAGGTTAGGGCATTTATTTTTGTTTCTGCCACCTGTCCTGAGCACATCTGGGCTTTCCAGGCAGACGTAGCTGAGCACTGTCTTCAGCAGGAGGAATGGCTTCCTGGAGCTCAGAGACCCGGGGAAGTTTGGAGTGCTTCTGGCTGCCGGCTTTTTCCCTGATTCAGTCGCCGTCCTTGGGTCACCTTGTGATGCAGATTCTCCGCGCTCTGCTGAATCAGCAGCCATAGCCACTGTCATATGATTGTTTCAGAAGTGTAATCAGCAGAAGTGAAAGCATTACTTTTATCCAGAACCTTTTGATTTTTTTTCTCTTCTTTTCCTACCTCAAAATCAAAACCAAAAAAACACTTTGCAACATTCTTAGGCAGCTAAGATTGCAAAGATTGCTGGTAAGGAAATGGTTACTCAATCTTGAATTTCCTGAAATTCATGAGTGAGTGGTTAAAGGTAGACTTTGCAAACATTGGTAAGACTCTAGCACTTGAACATGCTTCTGTATCTTTCTCTTCAAGATTTCTTCCTTGACTGTTAGGCGCTATGAAGTGCATCCAAAAGCAACTATATTTTGTTTTGTTTGCTTAGCTGATTTGACTAAAAACATTATAAGTTTGATGCAGTTTTCTATCAGAAATTTTCACTGACCAACAATTTAATGTAGTTTCTCCAGGTGAAGAGTCTTTTGAAGACCTGACTGAAGAAAGCAAAACACTGGCCTGGAATAACATCACCAAGCTGCAGTTACATGAGCAGTATAAAATCCACAAAGAGTAAGGCAATCCCCGGGCTTCCCTGTGGCCAGTGATCTTTGCAAAAGTTGGGATATTGGCTTAGTATTAAATTGTTTTAGGCTGAGTCAGGAGAAAAATTTCCTTTCAGTATCATGTTTTTAAACCCTAAAATGTCTGTAAGTGATCTATCCGAAGTTTTTGTGGCAAAGGAAAGTTTGACGCAGAATGATTTGTGCTGGTCCCATGAGCATGCTGTCATTCGAGAAAAGGAGATGGGCTCTCTAGATGGCAAGCAGTTGGGCGCCTCTCAAACTGCCCTTGAGTCTCTGATGATGTGACACTGTGGGAAAAGTGAGGTCTGTCTGTGGCATTGAATTTATTGAAAATACAGGAAAAACGCAGGCGACAGGGAGGCAGGAAACAGCATCGCAGAGTTCAGCCTCCTGAGATGCAGAGTTTAGTCCTGCCATGTTCACTGGCTTTTCTTGTTATTTTTTGTCTTTTTGAGACAGGGTCTCTTTGCAGTTAAGGCTGGCTTTGAGCTCACTTTGTAGCCCAGGCTGGTCTCAAACTCTCAAGGATCCTCCTGCCCCAGCCGCCAGAGTGCTGGGATTACAGGTGTGTGCCACCACGCCCAGCCATGTTCCTTGTTTTAACAAGAGCAAACAGCACACAGGAAGTGAGGCAGCATAAAATCTAAGACAGTGAGGACAGGAATGAACCTCCAGGCTTCATTCGTGTAACATTTAATGACCATTGCATGCCTGTGAGTGAAAATGCCAGAACCTGATATCTGTCATTGACAGATGCTAGGCACTAGATTTAGGAATGAAGTCAGCAAAGTGATCGTAAAGATGAGGTTTAGTCGTTTTGGTGATGGTCAGAAGAGGTAGGATTGACAGAGAAGCCTTTTCACACTGTTAGAAATACATTAAGGAAACATGTTAGAAATAAACCAAGGACGTTAAGCAGAACAGAGTCCTAGCACAGACTGACGGTGATTTATAAAACTTGTCTTCACACAGGGCGGTTACGGGAATAGCAGTCTCTTGCAATGGATCTTCAGTCTTCACAACATCTCAAGGTACGTTTTCCTGCCTAGAAAGTGGTTTAAGGAGAATCCAAACTGTTGTTTCTTAAATCCTCTTCAGGGCCTTTATTTGCATCTCCTGCCTCCACAGAATAGATTTAGAATCATTTGTTCACGGTCTGTTACGTAGAGTTCCATTCTAATTTGCCAGAAACAAACTCCAAGGCTTTCTCTGCTGATGAGGAAGTGCTTTCCCAGGTCCCTCATCAGCACCTCTCTCACCTGCCTGAGAGGGCTCTGCTTGCTGGCTCCACTGGAGCCTAGAATGGAACCGAGAATAAGCAAGGGCTGCGCAGACACCGTTTGGGGATGCAGATCTGCTGTTTTGTTTTCCACCTCCTATCTCTTCAGCAGCCTGTGTAATATAACTAATTAAAGTGTGTCATGGGCCTCGGATTCGGAGCACTGGGCTGGGTCCTTGGAAAGCGTGGAATGAGCCACATAGTGTTAAAATGTCCTGCTTCAGTGATGACACAGCTGGTTCTGACAGTGTCAGTAGCTGTTTTAATGAAAGGACTTGTTCTTTAGTCTTTATAGCAGGAAGTGTATATTTCATCCATTACGTTAAGAACTAAGGCTGTGTAAGTAAACACTTCCATGTCAATCAGTTAATACTCTCCGATTTCATTGTCATGTGTGTTGTCTGTAGCATTTCATCCCTTTCTCTTCAAATATGACCTCAGAGTTTGTAAAACAGAATTTTCCACAAAGTGTAGTCAATGATTCTGCAGTTGACCTTAAGGAGTCTGAGACGTGGACACCGCAATGGCCATGTCAAGGTCCCTGAGACGGAACTCAGGTGGAGGAAACACAGTGTATTCTGAGTCCGCCAGACAGAATGCTTTACCTCTGAGCAGAACCAGTGCGGTTAGCCGGGTTTGTCTGATGTGTTTGTTAAGTCCTGTAACTCACTAGACTTGGGACCTTGTAAATCTTGTTTATGAACAGCAAGGCTTCCAATCTCTCAGCTTAGTAAGCACTTCTTTGTGGATTTGCCAGACAAAGGAGAGAGGGATTTTGTGTCTGTGTGTGAAAAGCATTTACTTTTTGTGTTCATTTTCACTTACATTTCCGTGATTCATTTTATTGATTTGTCTGTACACTATTGGTCACCCCCACGTTAAATTTCTTGCTCAGAAGTGTGTTGTATTTAAGTTGGCATTTTCAGGACTCATCACCTATGAGATTAGTTCTTTCTGCAGTCTTTAACTTGATCAGTCTAGTAAAAAGAGGGAAACTTTCCTTTCAGGAAAATATCTTTACATACCTGTTTGGCTCCCAGCGTCCTGTCCTGTAGGATGCCCTAGGTGAACGGTCTCCAGTAGACTTGGAAGCGAACACTCAGAATGGTTTAACAGTATCAAAAGCAAGGTTGGAAAGACTTAGAATAATTACACTGTCAGGGAAAGTGCGCAGTACAGCGTTTAGCTTTCTGTTTCTGTGTCAGGTTAATGCTGAGGGATGTCTTTTTGAGACTCATGTTTATGACTTCTCAGGAATTCTGTGTCTTGTATTGCAAACGTTAGATTGAAATACAAAGTTTTACTGCACAGAACTTACTTAAAGCTCATCTGTTAGTACGCATTTATAAGTTAGAAACTGGATTGTTGCATCTCTCTGTTGGGGATGTCTGCGGCACACTGGAGACTGTAATCTGTGAGTCTTGGTTTTTCCCTGCTGCTGTGTGTCCTGGCTTTATTCAAGGGGAAGGGGAGTGCTGGGGACTGGATATAGTCTTGCGCATGCTAGGAAAGTGCTGTGTCACCGAGCCACATCTCCAGCCCTCCGGTTTTATTTTTCAGTTTTTAAAGGTTATTTTGGTAAAAAAGAAAAAACTTCTACTAGGCAAGAACATTAAAAACATGGAGATTTTAACTCCTATTTTGTTCTTCCATCAGAAGATAGCTCAGCTCAAGGTTGTCATACTCTAATTGGGCTGTTTTTTAATTGCTGACATTTTTATTATTAAAATTGTTATTTTAGTATTAGTACACTGCTGCGAGCCTCCTCTGTGCGCGGGCTCACCCCAGTCACCAGGCTTTGCAGCAGGTGTGTGTCTGCAGTTTAATGCTCTTCCTTCCGCAGGCATCGGAGACCGATGGTGACTGTAGGTCACCGGTGGGGTGTGCACCCAGTGACATGGGGGTCACTGCCTCCCGGCCTCCAAAAACAAGCACAGCAGCTGCCCTCTGACACAGGATGGCTAGGGAAGTTTTCCTTCCATGTCTGCTTTCCCCTTCTAGATTCCACCTTGAAGATGTTCTCTAAAGAATCCAAAATGCTACAAAGAAGTATATCATTTTCAAATATGGTAAGTTTGTCAGTATTATGATAGAAATTCAAGAGAACGTTTGTTTTATATACACATACAATATTTCATTTCTGCCAATACAATTGAATTTATTCCCAATATACAGAATGCCTTAATCTAAATTCAACTTAACAGTTTTTCCAGCTTTTTGCCTCTTTATTTTACTGTGACTATTTTAGGCTAAAAAATTTGAAGAGCTCCCTAATAAGTAGTAAAATCCTTAATTGTAAGACAAATGTTTGTGTGTTAAATAATTTATGTGATTCTCATAGTTGGCTACCAAATACAATGAAGCTAATTCTTCGATAAAAGAACATTTTTTACTTTTAAATATTAATCACCCAAAAGATTTTGAGATTCCCTTCAAGACTTCTCAGATTTTCCTTAATGATATAGTCTAAGATTCCAAGAGGACACTTTGATTCTTAAGTAATTCTCCATTCTGCAGAGTCTGTACAGTGTACCCCAGGGCACTAATGGGTTACTTCTGCCCGGTCAGCGCCTGTCCTCAGGCTGGCTCACGGTACCTTTGTTATTTGGGAGGAAACCCGCATCTGAAATTAGTTCAGAAAAAATCCAGGTAGTTATGAGGGGAACGAACCATCAGAAGAGGGCTGGGCAATTTCACTGAGAATGGAGAAAGCTATAGTTTTCTCATATGTTACAAACTGGTGATGTCAAATCATTTGTGTTTCAGGCTTTATCATCCTGTTTACTCTTACCAGGAGATGCTACTGTCGTAAGTTCTTCCTGGGACAATAACGTGTATGTACCTGTGCTGCTTATTCCACATGCAGAGGGGTGTCTGTAGACCTGAGGTATAAAAAGACAGAACCTCCACTGGAGATGTACTTTTAGAGAGCGTTATTAGAGATGAGGGTGGTTTCATTGTGTTCAGATATTATTTGAATATCACAATTTTTGCATTTGGACTTGTTTTTTTACTAAGTTTTGAGCTAGAATGAAAATACAGATGAGCCAGACTGGAAAATTTCTAGTTTTAAATAAAAGATTTGAATATATATATATATATATATATTTAATTTATTTTTTTCGGTACCGGGGATCGAACTCAGGACCGCCTGCTTGCAAGGCAGGTGCTTATGCCGCTGAGGTAAATCCCCAGCCCCAGATTTGAATATTTTTAAGAATATAACAAGAAGAAATTTTTAATTTGAATGGGCCTTGTATGGAATTGAACAATATTATGTTTCTTAAATCTGTTTGAGTCCTAACAGCCTAGAATACTGTTTTAATAGCTGCCACTGTCTTTTAGCTATTTTTACTCCATAGCATTTGGAAGACAGCAGGACACATTAATGGGGCACGATGACGCTGTCAGTCAGATCTGCTGGCATGACGACAGGCTGTACTCCGCGTCCTGGGACTCCACAGTGAAGGTTGGCAGAGAACTTTTAAATAATCCCAGTTTACTTGTTGATACATTAAATCACTTTTTCACAAAGTGTGTAAATGATATTTAAGGATATTGAATAGTACTGTTTTTCTTAAAATTTAGGCACCTCTTAATAGAAAGTTTATTCGGCTTTATAGTACATTCAGCTCGAGTTAAAAGGCCTGGTATTCATTTGGTAACAGAGCTGCAAAAGACTTTACAGTAGAGCCTCTCATATGTAATGTGAGGAAATAGAAGTTGATCAGTTACTGATACAACTTCAAGTGAAAGTGAGGAACCATTAAAAGTTACATTTTTACTTATATTTGAAGCATACAAATGCATTTCATTCACCATTCTTTTGCTGTAGCACTACATAAGCTTTTTATTTAGAATCCTCTGCAAATGTCCCACATAAACATTCCTCATCTATACCATTTCCATCTTGCATTTATATAAAGGGAAGCAAGCAGTAAAACTATTAGAATTTCTTAAGAAATCTTCAGGACTTTTCCTGGCTACTGCCTAATTTTAGTAATTTTTTTGATGACTTCCATTTTGAGTCACTCAAAACATAAATAGATATTGTGACACGTCTACAAGTTAGTTCCTTAATGTGCACACGACTTAGATCACAGAGTTACACCAGCAAGCGATAGAGACCCGCACAGCTACAGAACGTCAAACACAAGCACAGGGTACGGAGAGAGGCAGCAGGCAGTGGGGAGAGGAGCCTCTGGAGGTGGGGAGGCGGAGTCTCAGGCAGTGGAGTGGCAGAGCCCAGGCAGCGGGGGGTGGAGCCTCAGGCTATTGGGAGGCGGAGCCTGGGTGGTGGGGGGCGGAGCCCCAGGCAGTGAGGAGGCGGAGCCTTAGGTGGTGGGGAGGCGGAGCCTCAGTGTTAGCGCCTCACTTCACTGGCAATTGTGTCAAATGGAAGTTCCTCAAGCGTTTCCTGGATGCACTGGAAATGACTTTGTATTACAAGTCTAAAAATACCTTTTTCACCGTGCTCTGTCCCAGGTTTGGTCTGGTGTCCTTGCAGAAATGCCTGGCACCAGAAGACACCAGTTTGACTTGCTGGCTGAGCTGGAACACGATGTCGGTGTGAGTACCAACAACCCTGCATAGGGCTGTAGGTAACTGTTGAAGTTTCAAGTCTACACTCTGTTTTTTCCCTCCAATCTGTTTCTTTGCACATTTCTCTGAGAATTAGCTTCTGCCCAGCTAGATTTCCAACATGTCACCTTTAAAAATTTTTTTTTTAGTCTCGTAGATACAGTCTCACTATGCAGTTCAGGTTGTCCTTGAACTCACTTTGTAGCCAGGCTGGCCTCAAGTGCATACTGACCCTCTTGCCTCAGCCTCCTGAGTGCAGGATTACAGGCATCCACCTCTATACCAGGCCAAAATGTCACTTCAAAGATGCAGCCAGCATGTCCTCTTTTCATATTTCCTGACCCTGATAAGAAGGGGCCATTTGTTCAGGACACATTGATCCCAGCTGAGGACTGACTGCTGCCTAGGATGACTGAGTGTGCACAGCCTGGTGGCAGAGCCTAGAAGGAGCCGGGTTCTCCTCCTTTACTGTTTTCCTTGGTGACAGTACTGCACATTAAAGCTGTAGTTCACGTACTGTTTTTTCCCTTAGGTTGTGAATCCCTCATTTGCATGGTTCTCTGATTAACTGAGGTTCAGAAATATTTAGAACTCCAGTGAAGTCTCGTGGAGAGATCCCTGCTCTGCTACTCCCTCATACAGCTCTGGATGGGCTTCATGTATCTGGCAGCTCACCACAGTGACTTGTGGACTTACCATTCTGAGACTGTCGGTAGAAGGCTGTTTGCAAACAGCATTACAGTTATCCGAGCAATACCACGTTTCCATGTGCGTATGATCATTTAAAATAAGTGCTCATTCAGTAGAGCGCTGTTGGTACCTGTATAAATGACACCTGTACCTCGTAGCAGAATGGTAAAGCTCAGCGTGCAGCATTGTGACCACACACCCGAGTTGGTCTCCAGAGACACATGGCTGTAGTCTTGAGTGGAATGCTCACTGCTCTTCTTTTCCTTAGGTAGGTACAATCAGTTTAAATGCAGCGAGCACCCTGCTGGCTTCAGGCACCAAAGAAGGCACAGTGACTGTTTGGGACCTCACGACAGCCACCATACTGCACCAGATGCCGTGCCATGTGGGGGCTGTGTGCGCTACTGGTTTCAGCCCAGGTAGGTGTTCTCCTTCCATTCCACAGGATGCCAGGCAAATTAGAGTTGTGAAATAGTTTTCAAAGAAAGCCACTCCAGTGATCAGGGTTCTGCCATGGTTATAGAATTCATGCCAGGACACAGTATACCTGCAGCCCTGGTACCAGGGAGAAAAGCAGAACTACACATTGCTGTTAGTTCTGCTTATTTCTGGAATCAATGTGTAAAATCTAAGTGAACCCACACCAAAGGGTCATCTCACCCAGCGTCATCTTAGAGACAGGCAAAAGTCATTTCAAGGACAAAATACTTACGCTTAAGAAGCTCAAGGAAAATGAGCAGGCAGTGATTGAGAAATGCAATTGTTGTGTGATGTGGATGCTAACCCACATTCTGAAGTTACAGATCTGTGCCTTACAGATAGCCGCCACATCCTCAGCACAGGAGCAGATGGCTTTGTGAATGTGATCGACGTGCAGACAGGAATGCGCATCTCATCCATGGGGGCAGACAAGCCCCAGAGGTATGGCTTCCGAGGAGTGATGAACACACTGGCCCGCACACTCAGTCATTTCACTTGGGAGTATTGGCCAGTGTAACGTATCCCTTCCAGTGTGATGACAAAAGTGATTTCCCAATCATTCTTGCAGGTGCTTCATCTGGGATGGAAATTCGGTTCTTTCAGGAAGTGAGTCTGGTGAGCTGCTGGTGTGGGACCTCCTTGGCGCAAAAGTCAGAGAGCGAATACAGGGCCACAGTGGTGAGTGGTTCCACAGGCGACGTAGTCTGTTCCTGAGCTCCGCGCAGGCCTGCCTGCGTGCCCATCAGGGACATGCTTGCCAGGCAGATAATGGCTTAGTTCTCCCTGCTGTGAGCATTTCTGTGAGCATCTTGATTGCCTGGTGATGTGTGACTCTTTTGAATTTATGCTGATGGATGTTTGACTCCAAAACATTAGTCTTTAATATGTAAAACTAAAAACCATAGTGAAGTTGTAGGATCAGTCTTTAAAATACAACGCACAATTTGACAAAAAAAAAAACTACAGCATGAAGGTTTCCTACCACTGTGACATTGTTCACAGGTCCACTCCACTGAGGGTATTCTGCAGTGTCCCCATGCTTTTTTCAATGAGTGACTATATATAGAACTGCTTAACACCAAGCTCTCCTGCCACCTTTTTTAAAATCCAATAGTCTCTTGGAGATTTACTGTCCTCCATTAGCCTGTATTTGCATGCTGTCTTCCAATCTGGGCAGCCTCTAACTCTAGTCTTACCACCTCCGCTGACTTCCTGCTGTGTGCTGTAACTTCCCATCTTCATTCCCTTCACTGCCAATTGTATATGGGTATTTTTTCTTGCATTTATACTTTAAAAATCCCCAAGATACACATTTACATTTTGTTCTGTACCCATAAATCCCAGCTGGCTTACCTTTAGATTTACATCTGAAAGGTTTATTCCTTCCAAATTCTTTCTACTAAATGGTCCTTCTGGGTGTAGGGGTTGATTTGAGACAGGGTCTTGCTGCTTAGTTCAGGCTGGCTTTGAACTACACAGCCCACACCCTCAAACTTGTGATCCCCTCCTCAGACTCCTGAGTGCCAGGATCACGAGCATGCGCCACCACACCCATCATCTTTAATGTATACAAGGATTCTGTCAAAGTACAGCTCACGTTTGTGAATGAGTTAAGAGCATTAAGGTGACTCCGTCTCGTGAGTGACTCTCCACCTGACCCGAGTGTCTGCTTCTTAGGTGCAGTGACCTGCATGTGGATGAATGAACAGTGCAGCAGCGTCATCACAGGAGGGGAAGACAGACAGATTATGTTCTGGAAACTGCAGTATTAAGTGCCTTTCCCTTTCTTGACTCTGTTTTTAAACCGAACTTTCAGATGAACTGGTGAATGTGCAGGGACAGTAATTCCAAGTTTTACACATGGAAAATGTGTGGCTCTAAATCATGGTGACTTCATTGAAAGCCAGTAGTTGCCATCTTCTAAGGCAGATAAAACGTGACCACACTGGGGGGGAGAAAACATTACACGCACAGGGCCAATGATGATCATCCTGGTGCAAGGATGGCGGAAGGCAAGAATGGCTGGCAAAGCAGCTAAGAAACACCGTGGATGGGGACACACCGAATGCACTGGGGAAGTCTAGAATTTTCCAAGAAAACGTGGTGTCTTCTGCTTTGAGTCAGTCCTGTCTTGTTTTCCTAGTTTACCAGCTGCTGCCCTGGGGTTGTAGGTGTACGTGTTTTCACGGAGTGGTTCCCTTATATAATGCTGTACCCAGATTCTAAGAACCTGGGGAGGTTAGCAGTTCTTATAACAGTAAAGTGTACTGTGTATAGGAACAGTTTGTATTTCACTAAGCTATTAAATGCTCATCTTTTTTACATTAAAAATATTTTTCTGTACTAAAAGCATTTTCATTTTCTTATTTAAGGAATTTGTAACAAAGACTAGTAGTAAGTTCTGAGAGTCAGAAGTTTGGTCCTCCTAGAACACTACAGGGACAGGCATAGTTTTTGTTCTTCAGACCAGAAGACCCAAGTTCAAATACCAAGGTAGCTACTCCACTGGGAAATGTTAGCTTCCAAACAAGGTACACGGTACAGTAGGGGCGCTGACTCTCTCACGTGTCTGTTTATGGGATTTGAATTTTCCCACATACTTTAGCAGCACTGTTATATCTATCTTACAGGCAGAATGACGTCAGGTAATTTGCAGGTCCGTTAGATCATTAAACATGTAATCAGTGGTGTTACTGGACAGAATCCAGAGGGTGACTCCTGCTGTGTGACCGGATGTGCACAGGGCAAACCAGCCCCCACGCCCACCACGCTGGGCCCAGCCACCTGCCTTCTCCAGGCGGCCTTTCAGTCTGGGGGCTGTCCTCAGGGCCCCTGGGAGAGGGAGGACTGTTTTCCATAGCCAGAGTAAGTTTCACATATCCATCCATGCACAAATCTGGAGACTAACCAAGTTCCCCAATAAGAAACACACTGAAATTTAACTTTTATTTTTACGTTTAATTGGATAGCATAAAACAAAATGAAGAAACAAAAATCAGGACAAATGTCACTGTCATTTTTTTTGCAGGGAGGAATCAGTAACATATTAACAGGGAAACATTCTAAGGCCATATCACAGTAGCTAGGCTACAGGTTAAGATTCAAAAGCCAAAATTAAGTATTATCCCACTTAATCTACAAATGAAGAGTCCAAAGTTTATTCTGTAGAGTGTAAGAATTTTCACATTAAATACATAGTGACTTGTTTTCAGAAACAATTTGCTACTATGCACTGACTAAAAAGTCTCAAATATAAGCAGCTGTGTCAAAGCTCAGAAGTATCAGTAACTAGTGTACATTTCAGTTTAATACAGAACTACATTTTGGGCTTTACAAAGGCAGCAATGATTATATTTTGGCTTTTATGCTAGATGCTTAACATAGTTAAGGCAACAGTCAAGCATGTTAAGTGAAGGTAGTTAAACTTTAAAGACAATCGTAGTCTCTTGCAACCTGCATATGCTGTGTAATGCTTACATAGAAATGGTACCAGTGTACCTTACTGGTGTTTACACACAGAGAACTTAAAAAATTACTGGACACAGTCATACCAATATACCATGGTAACGTGGGAAATGCAAAGATACCCCAGAACTGAAGTAAGACTAACAGCACTGTGCATTCCCCGAGAAAAATCAGCGTGACTAGTTCTCATGCAAGCTTCACCCTGATCATGATGACTTATGGGAGTATCAGGTTTCCAGCAGAGAACTGTTCCAGGAAAGTCAGTAAATCTTGTGAAGGTTTCACATGTGTAAAACCAGGATAAGGCTACAACTATCTTGAAATCAGAAGCAGGTATCAGATGAAACAGTTAAGATCCCAGCCATGATGTGAGACAGAAAGGTCCTCATGCAGCATATGTTCCCTGGCTCCAGGAACGCTCCATTGTGCGATGCGGAAGTTGCCGAGGAAGGAAACTGGAGAAGTGCAGTTGTGCTTCTGTTGTGCTAAGACTTAAACCTCAGGAATGGTGTGATCCATCAAGCTTTTCATAATGCTTGGTGCCATCCTACAAGACAGTTCCTTTCATTATACACTACGGTTTTCTCAAAAATGTTACGTTAACCCAAGAAAATTCAACTCCAATTTAACAGGCAATCTATAAGATCAGGAGAGAAAGAGGACAGTGTTTTCCTGAGTTCACATCTAAAAGTCTGTGTCATTCTAGTTACTGGCAAATACTCAGTGTGAAAGGCCATCTGTATCATGGCTGAGTAAATTGGATAGGATATAAATAAGACCTTGTATACTCAGGTTAATAATAAAAAAAAGGACAAGGCTGTGATGAGTTGGTAAAAGAAACGGAGTGCAGGCATCTGTCTTCCAGTGATTTAAGAAAAGGAAACCTGAAACAGTCTTTAGTTTTTTTTCTTTTTCCAGAGTAGCTAGTTGTGTTCAACCCAAAAGCCAAAACAGACAAAAATTTTATCCCAAGGGCTATGTTATGACTTGAATTTCATTTCCACACCCATGATAGAAATTCTGAAAGCAAAATTCCAAGTTAGCTTGGCAAAAACAGCTCCAAAAGCAGCCAGTATTAAAAAGCTCCAGGGACAGTAACCCACGCTGGCCCTCTTCCCTTCTCTTCGCTCGGCTTTTCAGTCCAGGCCTGTCCTGAGGACCGGCCCCGGCATCACACACTCCATCTACCTTTTCCATGCTGAAGAACAGAAACTGTCCCTAACACCCCACATGAAGAGTTTTCCACTAAGCAGATGAAGTGGGGTGGGGGCACTGCAGACGTGCTACCGCCTCTTTTTAACTTTTAACCTATGTGTTGTCAAAATGCAGAATATAATGAATTTTACCCCATTCTTGGAAAGTTATGAGGGGTCACCCCTACTGGTCAATTCCTCTGATTTAAATAATTTAAAATTTCTAGGTAAATACCAGCATCATTCCTTAAACAGAATCGAGGATGTTGGAATTACAGGAGAATACAATGCTTAAACTCAGCTGAGAAACTTACCGTTTAATAATATGTTCAAAGATGAAAGCAGGCATGATTGTTACAGTAACTATGGTCCCAGATGTTGAAAGTATGTCTGCTATTTGAGAATCCTGAGGAAACACAGAAACAAACATGAATTTCACTGAAGTTTTATTTAATAAATGTGAAACCCCTACTCTTGGTAAAGAAATATACACCATATATCCCAATTATGTTTTGCTACTAAATCTCCAAAACTACCGTGGTGTTTCTCATTTTATTCTGCTTTTCCTTCCAGGTTTAATTCTACAAAACACAAACGTTACAGCTATTTGGAAAGCTCCAAGCTCCCTGATCTGAATGCCCAGACCCAATGAGTTCACTCCTCGGAGTGAACAGTTTCCCTGTATGCAGTAAAATACACTCAGTAACTAGCTTTTCTAAGGTTTATGAAGGAAGGTCTTAAAACTTACAAATCTCAAGACAGACAGTACTTTATGGAGGAAACTAGAAACATACAGCCCTAGCGTGATCCACAGGTATTACCCAGTTCCTGCTTCCTTTGGCTGGAAAAGCTGGACTACCACTTATCACAGGGTCACCAACCTTTCCAGTGCTCCTATTACAGAGAATTCTAGCTGAAGGCAGTCCAACTTTCTTGCTACAGAAAGACAATTCTAGGTAACATCATGCCTCTCATTCCTCCCGTTTCCTTATTTTGTAGGTCAGTGTGAGCACAGTTCCATCTAACCTGTCAAAAGAAGCCACTTTCTAAACACGCAGAGGCCACCCAAGCCCAGGGCTGTCCCTCACCTTCAGTCCGATGACATTCTGCCCGTTGACTTCACAGATGTTATGCTCAGTCAGAAGGCCGTTCCTGGCAGCCGAACTGTCCTTCACGATGGATGTTATTTTTCCATTTTTAAAGATGAAACCAACATGCCCAGTACTGTCCTTGTGCATGGTAACTGTCCGTTCAAAGGGCCTATAAACATGACCAAAAGATCCAATTTAAAATTTAATTCCTAGGTTAGTATTTGCGTCAATTTAATAAACCATAAATTTTTCCAGATTTGGCTCTTTATTATTAGGAACACTAAATATTTACAACTTATATCTCTGATAAAGTGTATACACAGAAAAAATGATTTGGCCAACTAATTAAGATTTTGATTAATCACCAGATAGCTGAACATAATTCTTTATGCAGTTTGACATGCTTTTTTCTTTAAAATTCACCATCTTTTGAATTAACAGTGAGACAGATTTTGAACTAAGCCACAGAAATAAACTGAATTTTTATTAATTTTTAGTGTCTCCTACAGCCTAACTGTTCCCAGAGTATTTTTGTAACTTAAAACCTTTATAGTGTGCCTCACATCTTGGTTTTGAAAATGTTATGCCCCCCATTTATTTATTTGAACTGTAAAAGCAGCGAGACTTCAGTTTCTCAACCCCTATTTGGAAAAAAAGACACATGGTAAGTAGCACTTAGGTGCACAGAATTCAACTTGAAGGAGGCCTCTAGTTTCCATCCACACAAGCAGGACCCCGCATGTGATTGGCATGTGATTGGGCTACACTGGGCATGGAAGCCATAGCATGTGGAGCCAGAGTTTACATGCCACTCGTTCTGAGATATTTCTATTTTCTAGAGCAACGCAGACAGGCAGTAGCAAAAGGACAAATTACTATGGTCTCTGAAATAAGATGCATGCGCATAATCAGAATTCCACCCTAACAGCTCAAGCTCTGTAAATACCCGCAGCCCACACATCCAGACTGCAAGGCTCATCCATGACACTGCTCGTTCTCCACAACAAAACACTACCGAGAATTGAGAGCCCCAAAGAACAGGAGACTGGCCAGAACTTCATCGCAGTTCTCCAGGAACACCTACCTGTCACGGATGGTCATAGTGATCTTCTCTCCAAAAGCCTGTTTGAGCACCTTGTGGGCTTTATCCGAACTCCAGCCTGCACAGTTCTCGCCACTGATCTGCAGGACTTGGTCCCCAAATCTCAGACCAACCAATGAGGCCGGAGAATTAGCCTGGACTAGCTGAACAAATATGCCCTAGGCGATAAAAAAAATGATTGGCCACCTGTTTAATTATGCATGATTAAATATTAAGTGTTTAACAACCTAAAGTGAAGAACATGTTAACTATCACATGGCCTTTCAATAAAGAATCAACGAAATACAGAAAATTCAAATACTAAGGAACTCCATCTACAATAGGTGTTCTTCTGGAAACCCTCAAACAGATGTTGAACAAAATATAAACAAACATAAAAATAAAGCTGGGGACATAAAAGCACACTGACAAGGTGGACTTCTCTGCAGTCCTAAGCTGGGTCAGACGTGACCTCTGCCGTGGGTCTGTTAAGGTGGAAGACAGGCAGCACAACCACCAGGCCAATATGCTTTGGCCACTTGGACAAATCCCCTGCAGGGACAAACGTGGTAAAGGGGTTACATGAAATGTCATCATTTCAGGATGAAGGAAAGCAGACAGGAAGTTCTGGCAGATGAACAGCAGGAAGGGAAAACAAGCACCTTTAAGTCAGCACTGCCAGAGCAAGCACACTAGTCTGTCCTGAATGAGCTACCGTATGCACTGACACAAACATCCTCTGCCCCTCCCGAGTGGACAGGCAGGGTGGGCGCTTCCTGCCACGCTCAGACCATGGGTTCCAGCACAGAAGGCTTACTCGCTCGCCGCACTGTCAAGAGCGAGGACTGGACACCTGCAGCACACCCTGAACAATTCCAATTCCTCAGAGCAGCCTGTTCTCACGTCTGCGCAAGCTCAGGTTAGAGGTATGGCACCAGCCATTTAGGGAAGCAACGCTGGGCCAGGTATGCAGCTTGGCGGCATCGCCCCTGCCCAGCAAGCAAGAGGCTGTGTCTCAGGTCCCCGGCCAAAAACCAGGTAATGCTGGTAACGTAAATTAATGGCTGCCCTAATTAAAGAGAAATCTGTTCAGAAAATGACCAATTAAATTTGCATTTCAAGGACAGAAATACCTTGCAAAACCATCTCACAAACTAATCATAATTTGCTTAAAAACACAATAATTATATTCTCAGTGCTGTTTTTTCCTTAATTTTCACATATGCTATGCTGCTTCGATTCCAGGGTTCCATTAGATAAGCTGTGTTGCAAGGGTATGTCACTTAGTGTATGATAACTAGTGAACTTTAATTTCAGTTAAAGTACTCAAAAAGGAAAAAAATCAAAGTGATGTGGTCAGAAGTTGTAATTCTCCAAAATAGTGCATCTCAAAGAATGCAAATCTAAATTAATAGATTGGTGATATTCTTAATTCTGGATATACCATTATAATAATTAAAGCATTTCCATTTTAAGATATTCTAACATTAGTCACAGTATACTATAGGATATTCAGATAAACTTAAAGATATTAGAAATACTTACATTATCTACTGATTTAAGCCTGAGCCCAATTTTTCCATCTTGATCCTTACACAAAATGACTTCACGAATCCCTTGTTTTATTTCTGCTCTCCGAATTCCAACATCGTTACCTGTTACAGGAGCCACCATGCAGTTCACACTGGAAGGTCTTGCTACCAGCTGCTGACAAGAGCACACAGTGTCAACAATTAGAAACAGGACCCTGAAGACAATCTGAAGTGATTAACCAGAAGATAGTGAATTACAGATTTCCAAAAATTAATCCACAAATAATTTATTTCAGTAAAGTTTGATGTCTGACATAAAGGACAAATTTATTAACCTACATCTCTCCCCACCATCCTTATCAATGTAAGATCCTCATTAGCTTTGGATCCGGCACAGCCCTCTGAGTCATCTGAAGTGATCAACTAAGATCCTTCTCCACATAAGATCACCCGCCTGGTTGTGTAAATCTGATCAGTGCATATGAGGTCCTGGCTGCCTCATGGCCTTTTGTTCCCCGTGAACGAGGGGTCACCCCAGCTCCCCACTGAACTGCCACTTTGTCTCTTGCTCTTTCATTCTGCCCTGACTGTAACACCTGGCAGGAGACTGGTGTCCCCTGCAGGGGCTCCTGGTTACTTATCCTTGTAGAGACCTTCCCTAACACAGTATCCAGCAGGCCCCAGGCGATCCAGGTAATCCCTGTACAACCTAATCTCTTCCAGAACAAGTACCAACAGTCTTTAAGAAAACACCACAAAATCTAGCACCTAGGTGATGTACAAGATGTAAATTTCACAGTGTTTGGCATCTAATTAAAAAGCAGATGACATACGAACAAACTGGAAAATGTAACACATAAATCAGGAAGGAAATTAACAGATTGAGATTATAATGATAGAAATCATAAAATTACCCAGATCTCAAAATAACATTAACTAGGCTCAATATATTCAAGGATTTAAAAGACACCATGAAAAGAGAATGAAGAAGAACCACATTTTCTTTTCCTGTCCCATGTAATCAATCTTTGACAAAGGTACCAAGAGTGTATACAAGAGATGATCTCTCCAATGACTGGTATTGAGAAAACTGGAGATCCACAGGCAAGAGTAAAACAAGTTCATGGTACACCACAGATACAGACTAAGTCCAGAAAGATTAAAGACTTAATCATGAGACCTGAAGTCATAAAACAACTAAAATAAAACAAAACTCCTTGATGTTGATCTTTTTTTGGTTATTACTTCTTTATTTTTCTTTTTGATACTATGAACCCAGCAGCAAGCACTAAGCTACAGTTCTATTTCTTTTCATTTCGTGACAATGTAATCCTCTGCCACAGCCTTCCTTGTACCCAGAATTATAGCAACATACCAACTACACCCAGCTTAATGATCCTGACAATGATTTTATGAATATGACACCAAAATCCCTGTCAAAATAAATAAATAAACAAGTGAGACCTCCAACTAAAAAGCTACTGCTGGGCATGGTGGCACATACCTGTAATCCCAGCACTTGGAAGGCTGAGGCAGGAGCTACAAAACATAAGCTCAAGGCCAGCCTGAACTGCATAATGAGACCCTGTCTCAAACACACACACAAGAGAGAGACAGAGAGAGAGAGACTTAAAAAGCTACCTCACTGCAGTAGAGGCAATCACCAAAAAACCAAAACAAAACAAATAAAAAACCCACCAAACAAACAACAAAAACCCAAAAAACACCACCACAGGAGAAAATCTTGCAAACCATTTATCTGATAAAATATTTAATATTCAACATACATAAGAAATGCATGGAGCTTAAAAGCAAAAAAAAAAAAAACCTAACCCAATTAAAAAAATAAAAACAAGGAAAGACCTAAATAAACATTTTCCTGCAATCAACCTAGAGGTGCGTGAAAAGAATACTCACAATCACTCATCAAGAAAATGCAAATCAAAGCCACAAAATGAAGTCCTACCTCACATCTGTTAGAATAACTAGTATCAAAAAACAGAAGATAAATGTTGGTGAGAATATAAAGAAAGGGACCCCTCGCACCTGTTTGTTAGTGGTGAAGTAAATTAGTACAACCATTATTGAAACACTAGGAAAGAACCTCACAAAATTAAAAGTGTAATTACTATAAATTAATCTCACTTCTGAGTATATGTTTAAAGGACATAAAATCACTATTTCCAAAAGATGGTGTTTGCTTTCCCACATTCACAGTAACCAAGACTTAGAAGCAAACAGCTATTGAAAAATAAACAGATAAAGAAATGTGGTATTATATACAACAAATTATTATCCACCCACAGTAAAGAAATCCAGCTATTTTAGACAATATGGGTGACCCTGGACATTTAAGTGATATAAAGAAGATGCAGAAACAGATACTAAACTGTCTGATCTTACAATATATGACATCTAAAAGTGTCAAATTCATATAAGAAGAAACTGGAAAAGTAGTTAACAGGGGCCAGGGAAGGGTAGGAGACTGAATAGGGAAATGCTTGTTAAAATGTACAGACTTTCAGTCATGAAACAAATTAAGCTCTGAGGACTTAATATACAGCATGGTGACCATTTAATACTGTGTTGTATACTTAAAATTTGTCCGGAAGAGGACTTAGTGTGTTCTTATCATATACTAAAATGGTAACCACATAAGGGGATGGGTGTGTTCCTCAGCTTCATCATGTTATCATTTTATAGCACACACACACATACATAGATGCCTTGGAAACACAAAATTTTAATTTGCCAATTACATCTCAACAGAGCAGGTAGGAGGAGAGGAACAGATGGAACAGTAAGGAAAGACAAACATATGTGAAACTAAAGTAGAAAGGATTAACAAAATCTCTACCAACAAATATAAAAGGAAGGAAAAAGGAAAATCAAAGCTTTGAAAGACTATAGAAATGTAGATATTTCAAAAATGAAATGTTTAGGTTACCCGCTAGGTATGGGGGAGGTATTGTTTCCTAACCTGTAGATGAAACAAAAAATATGCATAGTGAACACAGAAACCGTAAGTATTCGCTAGGACTCCATGACCATGATGTAAGAATCACAGTAGCTGTGACTCTTCTTTTCTGCTTCTATTTGTGAATTTTCTATAAATACAGCAATCAGTGTTTTTCCTTGTATCTCTTTTTACCTTAATATAGGAATTGTTAATAATGCTTAACTTTGCACTTCTGCATTTAAGATAAAACTATTAAACTGGAAAAAGGAATCCTTACAGAGGGGTAATTACAATTACCATCACACCGCCATCCATTCCACAACCACACTCAGGGGCAGTGGCTATCAACTCTTTCTAGAGAAAGGGTGAGCACGTTTATCTACATAAAGAGTCACTGGCTTCATTCTGTACACCCAGGAGCTTGAAGAGTTTTTATGTTAAAGGCTACAAACAAGATATCTATAAAACAGAACAATGCCTCAAAATAAATGTGACCGAGCTCTTTTAAAAAAAAAAATTTACTAAATCTTGATTTTTAGGAAAGGGAATGCATCCTTTATAAGGAGAAGGTGTAAGTTATTGTCATCACATGAAGCTGAAATACTCAGAAGTGTGCGGGTAGGCAAAGGAGTTTGGTGGGAACAGGTAACAAGCTGCCACGTCAGTGCAAATCCGCTCCTCTTCTTTCTACTTGGTGATTGCTGGGGCTGGAACATTCGAGCTATATTTTCCTCTGCTGGCTGTTTCAGCTTGGCTTCCTCTACAGGCCAGACTGGCAGGATGAGCCCCTGCTCCTTCCTATTTCCCACACCGCTCAGCGCTGCAGTCTCGCCCTGCACCCTCGCCCTGCACCCCTGCAGCAGCAGCAGTCACCGCACTCCTGCTCTTCCTGACACTCGGAACTAGCCTCATCGTCACCCTCACAGGGCCCAAGACTTCCAGCAGTGTCTCCTCTTCCGAGGTCTGAAGCCTGTCTCGGTGGGACTCTGCGCCACGCATCTAGATGCTCCCTTAACCTCCTCCCTGTCCTGGGGAAAGCAACTGTCTGCAGCTACACTGGCGCTCCACTTGTTTTCTCAATTCGCCATCCTCTTCACCTAGGGTCCCTAAATTATCGCTGTTGAACTGCTATGATTTGTCTTCCTACATGGATTTTCACTGACACTATCAACTTGTCAGTACATGCTTGGTAAAGAAATAAATGCCCAGTACTGCTTTAAGTGCAGGGCTTATGGCAAGAAGGTGGACATGGATTGTATAAGGAAGTATTTAATTTCAGTTATAATTAGGGGCCATGAAGTGCTATGCTCTCATAGCAGTGACTTCAATAGAAGGTTACTGGGTATGTTCTATTTAAGTCCACAGTACCCAGAGTCAGATCACAAGGAGCTCTGGATTTCAGAGGACAGTTAAGGATGAGTAAACAAATATCTGACAGATCTGCATTGATGATTAACCTAGCAACAGTTTAATATAGTTTGAAACAAGAAATTACAGAAAATACAAAACATTATTTCTGAAACTACGTTAGAAGTAGAGAAACTTAGTATAGCTAAACTTAGTATGGATAAACTGAACACAAGAAAAACGATAGAAATAGCATCACTAAGTTTGTAACTGACTAAATAAAGACGACCAAGGAGAACAGAATGGACTAGAAAAAGGCATCTGAATATTTAAATCCTAGTAAATTCAGAGTCTAACAGAAAAGCACCTAAGTAATATCCATCGCTGTTCATGTATGAGATTAGTTATACCTCAAGATTTTGTGTAGAAATAACACCCAGAAGTCTAAAATCGGAAGTCAATGGCTGTGACTCACGCTGCAGAGCAGCGAGCTCTAATAAGTCCGCTCGAAGCGTGGCTTGAACTCAGGTCACTCTACATACCCCCTGAATGGGTGCTCCAGGGACCATGGCACGTATTTCTTCTTCATTTAAACTCAAGCCCATGTACTGGGAAAGCTCTGGATACAGTCTGGGATAGAGACCTAAAATAAATGACGAATGAACAAATGAATGAAGAAAAGACCCTGGAAAAACACTCAAAATGAGCACTCTTATTATGGCTCTGCTCACTTTACACCATACTTAAGTTTTAAAGACTAGGGTAACTTAAAGCAGAAATTTGGAAGGGCATCTCATCTATTTTACAATCAAAATGAAAAATACAGAAAATGTTTAAGGTGGAAATCATAAAATGTGAGCAATCTAACTGAAACAACCTCAGATGCCTAGGTCAGGCTATGCACAAATGAACCCAACCCAGTCCTGCGCTGGGAAGTTAAGAGGTTGGACTCAATTTTCATGGACCATAAAACACATCACATTCAGTTTACTTTCTTGATTAAATAAAGGGCTATTTTTCAAATAATCACAGTTTCCCTACTGCTACTAGTTTGCCACAATTTTATTTCATTATCTCCAAAAACAAGAGAAAAATAACAAAAGAATCTTGAACTTCCTATTACAGCAAAAGAAGACATAGTAAGTTATTTCTGACCTGAAAGATTAAACCCAAAGTACAAACTTACTTCCATCTTGTGAGATGGGGGCAGAAGCTTCAGACAAAATCGCTAGGTTGGCAGGGTTTGCAGAAAAGGCAGTTTGAGCCTAAGAGAAAAGAAAATTCTAACATGCTATCAACATTTAGTATCATTTAATTTACAAGTTAAATCCAGTACTTTCAAAAAGAAACAAACTTTATGTTTTATCCAAGAAAGCTTTATTTCACTTTAGCAGTAAGTTTTCTGAAAGAAATCTGCACACTGAAAGACGTATTTCATATTCTAAATGATTTTAAGACTATCACACAACTGAAGAAGCACCATTCTACGATATTTATGACAGCACTTAACAAAACTGCTCTGAATTAGTTATGTATTCTCACAGAGCATTCTAAACTGAATGGTAACACATTTTGTATTTCCATTATTTTTTTACTAATTAATCCAAATAAAACTATGTAAAGAAAAAGTTCAATCATATTCATATGAAAAGCTACATATAAACAAAAACCTAAAGTTCATACTTAAACTGATTTACCTTTTTAGCATATATCACTAAAAGAATCTTTATCTCAAGTATAAGAAGTTAATTACAAACTATTCGAAAAGCACACTCTCACCACTGACATAAAAGAATGGCAAGTAAACATGTGACACTGCTACCCCTGGTCAAACAGGTTTGTCCTCTTACAGGGTTCACAGTGGGGGTCAATTAAGTATCCCACTGAAGGAAATACTCTGTCCAGATAGAACTTTCTGAAATAACTATGTGATTTTAAAGACAAATTTAGTAGTAAGTCTAATAAATAATCTCTAAATATAATTATTTAAAAATATGTCAAATTAAGACAGTTTATAGTTATATTTCAATTTACCTATGAAATCAATGTCAAGAATACTTTCAAAAAGAGATGGGAACTTAACTTAAATCATTATAGCCTACACAACCTTGGTATTAAATTCATTAGGGTTGTAAGTGTTCTGCTATACTATACTTGTGTCACATTTAATATTGTTTTATTACATAAGTATTCTCAAAATGCAGCATGAAAATTCTCATAATTGTAAATAACAATCTGCAAATTCGAAGTGTAATTGAAAGTTCTTTCATCAGCTATCAACTGAAGAGCTAGAAGCGAGTTGGATTTTTACTTTCCTTGAATTAGTTACAAACAAAAAAATCTTTTCACTTCTAAAAAGAAATGAGTTATCAAATTATGAAAAGACATGAAGGTACCAGTGTGCATGCCTGCAATCCCATGACTTGGAAGGCTGAAGCAGAAAGCTCATTAAGAGTTCCAGGCAGTTAAGTTCCCACTCACTAAGAGCAATAACCCCAGCTGCATGTACCTTACTCTTAGTGCTTTTTCTTTTGCTTCCACCCTCAATAAGGCCAATCTTTGACCTAAAACACATTCTTCATGTTGCTTAAGACTTTTCCTGTGATTTTATAATAAAATTTTTCCCCTTAGTAATCAACTATATAAAGAACTAAGTCTTACTTTATACTGAGGGCAGGGCCTCAAGCAAAATGACTTTTAGGGTAAGGAGTTCTGAATGAACAATTCAGAAAGTATCTGTAGAATACCAAGGTGAAGTTAACACACAGCTGGAGAGACTGCAGCTTCAGAAGACACGGGGTGCAAAGCAAGCCGTCAGCAGAGGGCCCCTGAGACACTGCCGGCCGTCACCTTGACACTACCACTGTGGATCCCGAAAGCTGCAGCGGCTCGTTTAACCCTACCTTCTTTGGTGGCAGAAGCTGGAGACGACAAAGCTAACAACACTTAAAGGGCTGTAAATAGAAACACTGTCGTCTCCACTGCAGTCACTGTAAGCATGGACAAGTGACACACCTGCTGCTGACCTCTGAAAGGAAAGAAACTTTTCCTCGTGCTAGAATACTACTCCTCTAATAGTATGTACTCTTACTCTTTCTGGCCTCTTTAACACTCCTAAAGAAATTACGTCTAAATATTAAAAAAGAATCGATATTACTCAAAATCATAAGTATATGTCATCTATTTAAGTTCTGTGCAATTTCAGTTTTAGTCAGAAAAAAGGCTCTTGGAAGAGTCTGAGCGAAACTTTAAACATCCCATGTGTATTAATTCAGAATAAAATGAAAAATAGTTTTTAGTCGACAACAAAAGGTTTATGATTGTAAAAATGAATCAATGTATCCACTAGTTAAGTTTTTTGCTTTAATTCACAAACTAGAATGTACATCAAAGTACATTTTAAAAAATGAATTTAAACATACCTGAATTACTTTGTCTACCTTCAAATCTTCAAGAGATGGATACAGAGACATTTCTGCAGGATTTTTCTAAAAGGAAAAAATATGCAAATGTCACAGAAACTCACACAGCATACACTGGCAGCAACATACACATAAATATGTTCAATTGTTTAACACCAGTAAGAAAGCTTTTACATTACTAATCATGGAAAAACAAAGGACAATCCAGGCCATACCACAAATTAACTGACATTTTTATTTTTTAATTTTTATTTGAAAGAGAATAAAACCAAGCAAAACAGAATAAAGCCAATCAAATCAGTGCAAGTGACATAGGACTTCAAAACAATAGCAAATCAACAGTGGCTATCATGTCTCTTGTTGACCCCAAAATAGCTGCAGATACTCCCAGACATAGTAAAAATCAAACAAAACAGAATAAAACTAATAAAAACAAAACAATGAATGCAATAAAAGACTTGAAAGCAAGGTAACAGTAAACCCAAAATGGCTAACATATCTTGTTATCTTTGAAACAGCTACCCACTCCATCAGATATAATAAAATCAAACAGAACAAAACAGAATAAAATCCAACCCAACAAAACAATGAAAATGATACAGGACATCAAAACAAGATGATAAGGAATCAACAATGGTTACCTGTTAGCTGATATTTAAGGGTTGTTCACAATTATATCCACCATATTTTCAACCTACCTTCAAATAAAAGTCTCTTCCTTTCGCAAGTTTACAAATCCAAAAGGAACATGAAATCTAGCCAGTTTATAATTCATATACTCTAATAAAAAATATATATTGAGAAAAAAACAGAAAATCTACAAGAACACCAGTTTACACCAACACTGTGCAACTAAACACTACCTTAAGAAACTAGCTTTAGTACAATGCTTTTCAACATACGTTTTCTTCTAGCAGCAAAACCTAAAAGCAGATCATGAGGTATCCATATATAAAACCACCATCATTAAAAACCACATATACAGGCAAATATATGCAACAATAATACACGGTGTATCAGAAACTTTTAGTTGACACTTTTATCTTCCAGAGATAGATGCTAAGAGAATGGGGAGGAAGCGAGGACTTTTTGTCTTTACTGTTCAATGTATCTTAATAACCAACTCCTTTTTATAACAATTTAAAATAAAGTTCTCTAAAAATATGACATGAATACATTAAACTTAGCTATTATGCAAATGAATGTTTTCACTGAATCCACAAAACAAAGTGTATCTTAAAAGGGTACAAGGTCTGCCATAAATACTTCAGTCAACCATCGAGCTCCCAACAGAAAATCCAACCCTTTCTGCCTGCTCTCCAAAAATGAAGCTGGGCCTTTTAAAAGACCGCTCCTTTGTGAGCTGGCATGAGTCCTGTCAGTAGGAGCAGCTGGAAGTACACAAGATGGAGGAGGAAAGTTTTATCTCTTCCTAATTCCCGGGCACTACTCTAGCCAGGTCCTGCAGCAATGGCTGCTCTAGCGTTTCACGTTCCACAGGGAGAAGATTCTCAAGTGCGTAGCAGCAGCACAGCAGAACCACCAGTGAGGTTATCCCCTCATGAACAGCTTCCCCAAACACTCTTTTCAGGTGAGCGTTGCAAGGATCTCCACAGTACAGCATTGTGGAGTGTTCCACCAGTACCCATGAAGCAACATCTTGCCCTCTGTTGTAGTCAAGGTTTACAAGGGAAAAGATTTAATCCAGGACATACAATCACAGGGTTATTTTATAACAGTCACCCATACTCAAGTAAAAAGGAGTGCAGGAGATCGGTCCACACATTAGAGACCCAGAAAACGCAATCAAAGGCCTCGATCCCACAGTAATGTCCTCCAGCTGTCCAACTGGAAGACTGGAGCTCACAGCAATGTCTCATGCAAGTCTGTATCACAAATCTGCATGGGGAAGGCCCCAAGGTCAGTGGTGAAAGCTAGAAAGTCTGTGCCAGCAGGATAAAGGATCCACACTGAAGCCAAAAAGCGACACTCAAGGTAAAGATCAGAGCTCCCCTGATGAGTACTGGTGCCATCCTCAAAGACAGCAAGACCCAGAGCTCCTTTCATGATGATGGTAACAGCCGAGTTCATATGAAGAAAACCAGCACTGATGAGCTGATTGGCACGCTCCAGGAGGAGCAAAAGCACCCCAACTTCCCCTCCAGTTCCCTTTTTATGCTGCTGCCAATAGTCTTCAAGTGGGCCATTCATGCCCAGCACCACTCAGTGCAGCTGGGTGTTACAAATTACCATTAGTTAATGCATCACACCCTTGGATCTTCCCACATGGCCCAAACCAACCTCTAGAGGAGAAGCTTCTTCCTGGGCTGTTCGATCTGGCCCTAGAATTAGTGACTATTTATTTTTTCTTCTTTGAGACAAGGTCTCGCTCTGTAATTCAGGCTGTTCTTAAACTATGGAGCCGAAGGCTACATAATGAACGAAAGCACAGCAATCCTCTCACCTCAGCCTCCCAAAAGCCAGGATTACAGGTGTGCACCACCATGCCCAGTACCCTGATGTTCTTTAAAGGACTTTACTTTGTACTGGCTAATCACTGTCTATTCAACCATGTTAATGCTGATAAATTTACTAAACTCACACTGTTAAAAATCTCTATGGTTTCAGTCTTCTCCTTGCAAAGTAAATGCTAATTTTTTAACTGATATCCTCCACACACCATGAAATTAATTCTACTGAACCATACAATTCAATGTTTTAGGGTGTAATATTGTGCAGTCATCCCCATTTAATGCTGGAATATGCCTAATCCTCTCAAAAAGAAATCTCATGGCTTCTCATTCTACCCAGCCTTCATTTGAAGACAACCACACAAAAACTTCCTGCCTCTAGTTACATATTCTGGACATTTCATCTAGGATCACAGAATTCATGGCCTTTTGTATCTGGCTTCTTATAAACAGCATAATCTTTTCAAGGTTCGTCCATATTGTGGCATGTATCAATTCTTTTCATAGCTGAACAATATTCCACTGTCTACAAACATTTCTACTTATGCATTCATCAACTGATGACATTTAGGTTATTTGTACTTCTTGGCTATCATGAATGATGTTTCTAATAGTGTTAGTAGACATTTTCAGTATTAGTAAATAATGTATAAGCTTACACAAGGTTTCACGTAAAGATGTATTTGTTTTCTTTTTGGTATACAGCAAACTGCGTAACTGCTGGGTCACACAGTTACTCTAATTTTTTGAGGGACTGCCACCAAAGCAACTCCACTCATTCCATCTTTTCAACATAGAAAGCCCCTTCTGGTCCTTGCCGCAGTCCAGGAAGTTTGTATTTGTAATTCCAAAGGAAAGCTACTGGAATTCTAGTGAGTTAATTCCAATCTACCACTTCTAGCGCAACCCACAGTGAGGATAAAGACACTAAGGTATACGTATAGCTGTGAGGAGCCAAGGGGTCCTAAGTCCAGCAAGGGTGATGAGTAACCAGAACCAAGGCCCTGACCCAGGTCCAAATTCTCAACCAGGGAGCGGCTTGAGGTTAAGTGACTTCGAGAGTGGCAGGAGTGTGAGAGTGCCATGTGCTGGGCGAGGCAGCGGCCCGAGATCAGCAGTAAGCACAGAGAAGGACACGCATAACCCAGTTCCAGGTAGCACCTGATGTTCTGGGGTCAGTACTCCAGCTCTGACGTGTAACAGTGTTCTGATGTTAACATTTTTATAGTTACCAGTAGTTACGCATTTGTCTTTGACTTAGACATCAGAAATGAAGTTGACTTACATACTACTCTGTCTGTACATTTACTTTGATCAGTGAGCCTTACACTTTCATGTGCTTTTATGTCACTACAATGTCCTTTAGTTTCAACCTAACTCTCTCTAGCACTATCTATGATAGCCTTTTAGCTTTTCTGGTTTTCAAGGGAAATACTGCTGTTTCATTTGTGAGGAACAGTTTGACCAGGTATTACATTTTACTGGAAGTTTTTCTTCTTCTTCCTTTTAATACTTGGAATTATATTCCTTTTTGTGGCCCATAAGATTTGTTTAAAAATTTGCTTACTGAGTCTCTTTATACATGATGAATTGCTCTTTTGACTCAAAATTCTTTATCTTTGATTTTGCCAACGTGCTTAGTGTTTCTCATTGTGAGTACCACTGAATTTTTCCCATTTGTGTCTGAGCTTCTTGAATCTGCACATCCATTTCTCTCTCCTGATTTGGAGTACGGCCGTACCGTATTTCTTCAAATAAAGTGCTTCCCCCTTTGTCTGCTCTTTCTGAAACTCCCATACGTGCGCCAACACAGTTACCTCGATGCTGTCAGGTTAGTATTCCAGGTTGCCTTTACATTTTTGTTCTGTTACTGCCTCTGGCTAGGTAATTTGAAATCACCTGCCTCTTAGTTCACTGATTCCTTCTTTTACTAAACAACCTTGCTGTTAAATCCGTTTAATAAATCTTTCAATTTACTACTGAAGTGCATTACTAATGCAATTTACTGTTGAAATATCAAAGCAATTTACTACTGAAACACAATTTAGTTACTGCATTTCTCAGCTCCAAAGTGTAACTGGTTTTGTTTTTGCTGATATAATCATTTTGTTCATGCTTCATTTTCCTAAGATCACCGAGCATCCTTATTTTTTTTTCTGAATTTTCTGTGAGGCAATCACATAAGTGCTACTTAGAGTTGGGGGTTTTTTGAGTATTTTGTTCCTTTGCCTGTGTGGTTCCTTGTGTGCCCCTCCGTTTTATGCCTGGATCTAAACAGTCTCTATAAAAGCAGCCATCTCTCCCAGGCTTTACACAAGGGGAAACGTCTGTCAGATCTGCACAGGAAAGACCACTCACTCACCATCCTAGACTTTAGGTACCTGTTGAACCCCTTGTGTAAATCATCTTTTTCCTGTATGTAAATGTTTAGAAAGATTCACAGGTTTCCCTTTGTACAGATCTCATAGTCTTTTGTTCTTTCAGGTATTTATCTGTAGTTCTTCAGGTTATCTGAAGCTGCTGCAAGCTACCTGTCTCCTGTTTCCAGGAGCCCCTTTCTAGAGGAAGTCCATGGTTTGCTGTAATCCAAGACAG